GTCTCCGGCGTAGACCAGATATCCGGCTATCGACCAAAGGGCGGATGTACTGCTCAGCAGTCCGCTCCGTCCTCCTTTATGGCTGTGAGACCTGGCCATTGAGAGTGGAAGACATGAAAAGATTAGCTGTCTTTGATCATAGGTGCCTGCGTTCTATCTCTCGTGTGAAGTGGTGTAATAATGTTAACAATATTGAAGTTAGGTGTTGAGTGCTAGGTAAGGAGAGGAAATCAATCGACAAAGTTGTGAAATTACACCGACTGAAATGGTTAGGATATGTGCCTAGTCATCCATCGCCTTCCTCGACGGGCAGTGTTAGCTGACACAGGGTCAGGCTGGAAAAGAGCTAGCGGCGGTTAAACCAAAACATGGCACCAGTCAATGAAATCCACAACAGTTAGTTTAAGCTAGCCACGTAGGAAGGTGTAGACTTCGTGATTGGGGTCCTCGGAACGGTGAAAAACCAATGGTTGGAAACATTTGGTGGTATTGCTCAAAATCGTTTTCAATGCATAGCTCAGATGCATCCAGTCCTTGTGACTTATGATTTCCAATGAAACCATATTGTTCTTCGTTATTACTATGCCTTTATCTCACACCTCTGTTATGCATTTCTTCTACTTTCTTCTCTTGCTCTGTGTGCTACATGGAGTGTGGCGACTTGGACTACCTCACATCGGTGCGAAGTTCTATGTCGAAAACAGACAGACAGATAAACGGGTCTGTCTGTCTGTTTTCGACATAGAACTTTGCACAAATGTGCGGAAGTTCAAGTCGCCACATTCCGTGTAGCACGCGAAGCAAGAGAAGAAAGTACAAGAAAAGCATAATAGAAACAGTGAGCAGAGGTGTGAGACAAAGGAGTAATAAAGAAATACAAAACAGTTTCATTGAAGATCATAAGTCACAGGGAGTGGATGCATCTGCGCCACTGAGAACGATTTTGAGCCATGTCACCAATTGTTTCCAACCATAGATTTTTACCGTCCCGAGGACCCCAGCCTGGAAGTCTACACCTTCCTACGTGGCTTAGACCAACTGTTGTGGATTTCATTGACTGATGCCAAGTTTTTGTTTGACCGCCGCTAGCTTTTTTCCAGCCTGACCCTATATCCGCTAACATAGCTCGTCGAGGGAGGCGATGGCTTGGCATACGTAACACATGTCCTAACCATCTCAGTCTTTGTAGCTTCACGACTTCGTCGATTGATTTCCCCTGTTTACCTAGAACTCTACGCCTAACCTCCATGTTGCTCACCTTATTATGCCACTTTACACGGGAAATAGAACGCAGGCACCTATGATCAAAGACAGCTAGTCTTTTCATGTCTTCCACTCTCAGTGGCCAGGTCTCACAACCATAAAGGAGGACGGAGCGGACTGATGAGCAGTACACCCGCCCTTTGGTCGATAGTCGAACATCTCGTCTACGCCAGAGTCGGCGTAAACTAACAAATGCGAAACGAGCCCCTTGTATTCGTGCTGAGATTTCGTCAGAGATCAGCCCGTTGGGGCTGATGGTACTTCCCAAATAAGTGAAGCGGTCAACGTGCTCTACCACTTCACTTCCTATTTTTAAACTAGGCGTCGATGTAGTCCAGTCCTGTAACATCATCTTGCATTTGGCGGGAGCGAATCGCATGCCAAACATTCGTAGATTGCGGCTCAAGGTGTTTAGAAGACTCTGCATTTCGTCAGCGTCTTCGCCTAGAAGGACTATATCGTCTGCATATTCCAAGTCAACGAGATTATTCCCCGGTAGCAAGTCAATCCCTGAGTCGCTGAAGTCACCTAGGGTTAAGTCCATTAACACATCTATGATGAAGTTGAATAGAAAAGGAGATAATGGGCATCCTTGACGGACACCACTGGTCGTCATCAGTTCAGATGACAGCTCGCCGTAAGCCCTCACCTGGCTGTATGAGTACGAGTAGAGTGCCTTAATCAGTGCAATATATTTTCTCGGAATTCCCTTTACAGCCAAGCATCTCCAGAGAACTTCCCGATCGACAGAGTCGAATGCTGCCTTTAGGTCAAGAAATATAATGACTGTTGGACGCCGGTAGGAATGCCTATGTTCTAGAATCTGTCGGAGGGTGAAGATATGATCAATACACCCTCTTCCTGGTCTAAAGCCTGCCTGGCTCTCTCGTGTTTGTGCTTCCCGAGCACCACTCAGTCTACGCATGATTATTGAGCCTAAGACTTTAGATACTATATTAGTCAAGCTAATCCCTCTGTGATTATCACAGGAAGACTTGTCTCCCTTCTTGTATATGGGGATAATCAGTGACTTACACCAACCCGATGGGACTTCTTCTGATTCCCAGACGCTGCCTAGTACCTCAGTTAATCCGGACAGTAAGCTGTCTCCACCGTACTTAAATACCTCTGGAGTCATTCCATCAGGTCCCGCTGCTTTGCCTAGTTTCAGATTGGTGACAGCTTTAGTAACCTCAGTTAGTGACGGAGGACCTGTGTTTATATCCCATTCAGGGAGGTGTTGGATGCTCGGAAGGTTGAGCGTGGCTGTGGGCAAATTAAACTGCTCCTCATAATGCTCTTTCCAACGATCCAGTCGTCTATCCTGGGAGCTAATTATAGTGCCATTTTTTTCCGAGATTGTCTCACTGATGATTTGTCTTCTCCCACCCGTTTCCCTGATGAGTCCAAAGAGTTGCCTGGTGTTGCCTATCCTCAAAGCTTTCTCCATCTCTTTGGCTTTTGTCGCCCACCACTGTTCACGGTCCTTGCGGAGACTTTTCGTAAGTTTCCTCTTGTGCAGCTTTCGCTCCTCATTGAATTCGGAGCTCGCCGGAATAAGTCTTCTAGCATCTATCAGTTCGGATGAGGCGGTGGAGATCCAGTGGTTTTTACTCACCTTTGGGTTTACCTTATTCACAGCTTTTACAGCTGTATCTATGGCTGCCTGGATATTTTTCCAAGCTTCTTCAGGGTGAGCACAGCTGTCGAACACAGATATGTGTTTAGCTAGTTCTTCCTGAAATACGGATTTAGTTTCCTGATCGAGCTGGGGACGTGATGGTTTTACCGCCAGCTGTTTCCTACGTCCGTTCAGTCGTAAGCACACCCGAGCGCGGACCAGTGCATGGTCGGTATCTACGCACGTGTTCCAGAAGGAGCGACAATCTCCTACCGACCCACGCCAACGATAGCTTATTGCTATGTGGTCTATTTGTGTCCAGCGTTGGTTTGATGAAGGGGGTCTCCAAGTCAAACAGTGTCTCTCCTTGTGTTTAAAGTTAGTGCTTACAAGAAACAAATGATTATCAGAGCAGAACTGTAGGAGACGGTCACCGTTGTCGGTTCGCTGGCACGGAGCTCCATAGGTGCCACCGACATCCTTCTCAGATTGACACAATTTCCCTACTTGAGCGTTAAAGTCACCAGCTAGAACGACTATGTCTGAGCGTTTAGCCTTTCCACCAAACTAGACAGCTTTTGGTAGAACTCATCCTTCGTTTCATCTGAACTGCAGTCAGTGGGGGCGTAGGCGGAGATTACGAAAAGGCATCGGCGAGTAGTGCAGTCCTTCCTCCTTCTTACTGATCCGTTCAGGCGGACAGCACACATTCGGCTATCTACCGGGATCCAGTCAAGCAATGTCTTTTCTGCCCTAGTACTCAAAGCTATCCCTACGCCAGCTAATCCTCGTGAACTAGCTGTGGCATCTCCTGACACCCTCAAGGTGAATTTTGCAGATTCAACCTGTTGGCCAGGTGGGGTTAGGTGAATAACCACACTTGGGTCTTGTATGCGTGTTTCTGAAACACAGCATACATCAATGGCTCGTGATGCCAGGGTCTTGGCTAGTGATGCTTGTTGTCCTATTTGGCAAAGTGTCCTAACATTAAGAGCTCCTATATGAAATTGGTGGCGCGGCTTTAAGAGGCTGTCGGTGGTGGTTTTTTGGCTTCCATCGTTTTTAGTGGACGCAGAGTGGAGAGGAAGTGGAGAGCTATCAAGTCGAGGAGTTGCATCAGTGGAAGGAAGGCAAGATGATAGAGATGAAGATTTAGACAAAGATGAGTGAGTAATAGAGAGGTTTCGTGTGCATTTCGGATTGTGAGGGCGATTGTTACTTCCCGGCTGCCCACACCGTGGAAGTTGGTTGCGTGACCGCAGAGCCCAGGGGACAACTGCTTGAGGCCGGTCACACGCGGCCTGTTTTTGTTCGTTCTTTTTTTTTGGTGTGTCTCAGTAGCAGATTTATCACTCCCGCCCTGTGACACGGCAGCAGGAAGCGCGGTCGTTGTTAATCCGGGCCACGGCCGATCCGGCATGAAATTTTGTAATTTTGTATTGGACATGATGTTGGATTGGGTAGCTGCTTTTTGTTTAACCGCTATCCAAACAACCTGCCTGGCATGGTAGAACCTCAAGAGACATAAGTCTCAGCCAGTATAGCTTGAATAGATCATTGCGGTGTTCAAGCCCGACCACCACGTCAAGGTAGCAGCTTTCGGTCGGGGTGTGAATTGTGTGTGTTCACGGCGTGCACACGGAATGTGTGACAGTAAGGTTGCTGTATTCGGCATTTTTTTGCATAATACCCAACCGGTTTTTCAGTTATCCACTCATGTGCATTGCAGCTAATGCGTGAATGATTAGAATGGACGCATTATTTCCTCCAGCTACGACATTGTTATATTTCTGGTTTGATCGATTCCACGTTTGGTATGCTCATTAAATATACTAGATTCTGCCGTTAATTATTGTACTGGCATCACTCACCTGTAGGTGCGAATCTTGCTTCTCTTGACTTATAAGTGCTGGATGTTTATGTAAATTACATGTTGCTTATGAATTTGATTTTACTCTTCTAAGCGTTTCATAATGAAACTTTATTACACTGTTCAGACTTGTCTGTGTATTTACAAACCATGTCCCAGCTTTCTACCGCACTTCAGCTTGAAGTACTATGTCCGGGTAACCTATGGCTATCTGTCTCATCGAGGGCTGGTGTCTGGTTGTCCAAACTTCAGTAGATAGAGCGGGATGAAATCTTGTGATCTCCTTTTTAAAGAACATTCCAATAAGCTGCGGAGCTTTTCGTACCTAAGGTCACATTTTATCTCAACTTGACCGTGCTGTTTCACTTAATTTAGCAAAGCAAGCGCACATATTCAACGAAAACGTACACTGCGATTGGTCCTCTATATAATAAAAACTATTTTCGTAAACGAGCTTCCTCCGATGGAATAAATAATTATTTCTCAGATTAGTGGCACGTTTAGAAGACTTTGCTAAGTAACTGTACATTTTCATGTGTCATCTTGGGAATTGTATTCATAAGGTCGTACAACATCCGGTCTATTATTGTTGTATCGCTGAGGTTAATTGCTGTTTCCACTCATTAAGTGAAGGCATGTAATCGCGGGTGTTGTACATGTTCTTCGGTGTCTATCTGTTCGCTTTATCTCTGAACATTTAAAGAAGTACTCATGCTTTTTGATCCGATTTCAACTGACGGAGCTATATGTTGTGTTATGTAGTTGTTAAAATCGCTTGCGGATTTAAATTCTTAAAGATGATTGTCCTCAATAGAATCAGGTAAGGCAAAGGTGAAAAGACTGATTAACAGTGAGCATCACAATGTTATTAGTTATACAGAAGGAAAATTCAATGCTCTGCTTTTTATACTTGATGTTAATCATATACCACAGCTATTTTCGAATTAATTCATTGTTTTTCTGTTTTTCAAAAAGGGTTTAGTGGGATGAACGGCGATATCTCCCGCATCCCCATTCAGTCACTGAGTGCTGTAGTTAGTTTAACGGATATTATACCTGAATTACCTTTGCCCACTCCTTTACATTCTGGATCCAGTGCAGAAACTTTGTTATATGACCCTTCTCACAGTCTTCACTTTAGTCATGCTGAACTTGTGGGTTACCTTAGTGAAGCCCTTGGGAATGTTTGCACAAATAATATGTAAGTCATTTCAGAATCTTTTTGTATAATGTGACCAGTGATTTTAAGGAAGGATTCGCCAGTGATATAATCGATCCAAATCTATTGCCCGAACCTCTTGTTAGCTCTTTAAAAAAACTACCTGTTTTCGAACAAAAAAGGGGTTTTATGGACTATCTTCTCAGGAGTCATATCATCAAGTTAATACCGTTACTAATGCATATAAAGTACAGCCTAGTTCCTGGGTTCATCTCTAGACCAACCACTTTCTTCTGAGACTCATCTTTATCCTAACTGTAAGTTCATTGTCTCACTTAAATTATTTTTCATCCACACTATCGTAGCCCTTTCGTTTTTATTTTGTTTCATCTGATTGATAACTGTCCCACAAGTATGTGGATTTTAAGCATATGTTCTTAATATGAACCTATCTAAAGTACCAATTGGCACTGTCTAAAATCATCCCGAACTCAGTTCGGAAAATTTGTGGTAATTACTCTAGAAATTTGTTCGTTCATGTATGTACATACGGAGCACTGAATAACTGGCCTTAATGAATTTTTCTGACAATATGACCGATATGTGATCAACTCAATTCTTAGATTTAAAGTGGTTGTTGAATAAGTGACTGACTCGTCTTCGTATCTCATCACTTATAATTTAATTCAGTAATGTTTATCTTCATACTAACAGTGAACCTTAAAAGTGTAACAACATGGTGCAACCAATTCATATGTTAGTTGATCCAGATTTGACCTAATTTTCCCGCAAACATAATTTGGAACTAGACGGTTGAAAACCAATTATTTGTTGACAATTCTGCTAATTTTTTTATAATAGAGTGAAGAGGTTACGTGTGTTGTCGCATTCAAGTGCATTTAAGATCGCATAAACTTTGGCGATCAGATAGTGGAAAATTTCCGGATGGAATACAAGAAGCAAATGAGTACTTTCTGTCGCCCGTAATTCATCTTCATTTACACATTCCAGGTGATCAGAAGTCAGTCTTTTGTAAATTCGTGCACTGTGGGTACTAACTTGCAATAGTGCAAAAGAAACAATCATTACTGGTTTATTTTCTGGTTTTTCCTATGTATGCTGAATCGCTTAGTCATTTGGTTAGGTTTACCTGTTAGCAGTGTGTTTTGTTTGTGCTTCTGCATCGAGTTCAAACATTTACTGCCTACCAAACCAGCCTTCCGAAGTATTACAGTTCGTTGTCTCACTGAAGTAGGCTTTGGTCATATTTAAAAGGCGTTTTTCACTTAATCTCACAAAGGTGTCTTTATTTGCAGTAGTGTGGTGTGTGACTTACAAGTGTAAACACTGCGTATCTACGCAGTTTTTGAAACTGGAGTTTGATTATGATTAGTGACGAAACCGCAATACTTTTTTTCACATGACTGTACTTTATAACAATTACTTCAATCTCTACTAATTTTCTAGCTTCTACAAATGCTTCTCAGTAGAGATTAATGTGAACATTGTAATTACCATGTCCAATGTTTGTCCGGTTGTGCTTCGTTCTGCTTATAACTTCTAGTTCGTTCTGAATGAGTCTCCGATTTAGAGTAATATTTTTTTTATTTTTAGCATTTGAGGAACCAAGTGGATCTCCCAATAAAAAGAAAAAAAAGCGTAAGAAAAAGAAGCATAAACATTATGAAGATGGTGATACAAGTGGAGGTGAATCAAATGCTACTACTCCAGCGGCTTGTGGTGGCACCACTCCGAATAAATTTGATGACAATTGTTTGTCTCCTGCTTCAACGTACGGTGTTGTGAAAGTGAACGATGATACTAAAAAGCTTTCTTTAAAGATTTTTAAACGCCCCACAAACGATGGTTCCCAGTGCGTTTTTATGGTGGAACAAGTGGGTGGTGCTGAACCGGTTAAAAAGGAAAAGAAAAAGAAGCGAAATAAAGAAAAAGATCGTGACCATCGATTACATCACGAAATTTCCAAATCACCAGCAGAGAGGCATGTTCAACAGACAACACCATCATCTGTAGATATGACAGTCAAAGCACATAGCACTCCTACAACAAATAGTCCCACAAGCACTCCAGCAGCTGACGATGGTTGCAAAATATCAGAATCTACCCCTTCAACGTTTATTCACGATTGCCACTCCAAAGATTCTTCCCAGTTGGACTTGTCACTTATGACAAGTGATGGTTTGTTTGATAACTTGAATTCTATGAATAATTTGTATCAGCAACCCCAATCTCAGTCTACTTCCAGCCTTCCCAGTACTCCTGCTTCAATATCTGGGAATGGTAGGGCACTGACGTCTAGTGGTTGTGCTCCTTTCACATGTACGTACAGCATTTCGGAAACCACACAGGCTAGTGCATTCACCTGCAAGTCAAATATGTTCTATGAATTGTTACGAAATAACGATCCCACTATGGCACTCAAACATCTTGCAGACAATGTCCCTAATGATTTATTTATTCCGTCTAGTTCATCTGCTCCTAATGCTCTTGGTTCTGTGTGCAACATGATGGATTTTGCTTCTAACTTTTTGCAAAATGAAATGCTTTCCTCAAATTCTTCTTATAACCAGTTTCCACTTGGTATTAATTCTTTAGCTAATTGTGATAGCTCTACTGTTCCGCGGATCACTTTCCCTTCACAGCCATCTACCACTAATGCTTCTTCGTTTTTAGTCCAATCGAACTTGATCGACTCTAGTCAATCATCTACTGTTGTTGCTGCTGACTCCACTTTCGACGTATTGGGTGGTATATTAAATAATTCTTGCTATACACCTGTCACAGATGTCTGTCCTGCTACCTTCGCTGCCAATTTTGATATGCCTGGTTTGCCTCCAGATTCCAGTACTCATCATGTTCCCATGGGGATTGCAAGTTATCTTTCTGCTCCTACTCAAACTGTTACAAGTATTCAAAATCAAAATGATTCGCGAATCCAAAGTCGTGAATCTGTTCGTACGGATTCCACACCAACGACTACTAGTACTCCGCAGCCATGGTGGAAACGAAAAAGCAATTCTGTTTTAAGAAGACGTAAGTTATCAGTTATTAAAGTTTGTTTCTCAGGTAAATAGAGTGTGGCGACTTGAACTGCCTCACATCGGTGCAGAGTTCTATGTCGAAAACAGACAGACAGACAATTAAGTCATTAGTTCCAGTTTTTGTTTGATGAGAGGGGTTATTATTGACATATTTTTTAAACATCCCAGTCGTCACCTTATTTAACGCCAATTTCTTATCTGCTGTATGCCGTCGGTTTAGGAAAGCGTCGGAAAAATGAACTCGAAGATTTACAATCTTGGACTGTTAATTATCCAGTTAGTGGACCTGGTATGTCTAAATCTGTGGCTGAACGAACTAAAGGCCCTGATGAGCGAACCTGGGATGATGCCATTGGTTCTTATAGCCAGGTTCTTGGTGAACGTGCCAAAAAGCGGAAAAGAATGGTCAAACAAGGTGGAAATTTGGATCCAGACTATGTTTTTGAGCATGACAAGGATTATCCGAAGTAAGTTTGTTTGCCAGGTTTGTATTGCGTTTCGCAACTAATCTAGGATATTTGATGCATTGAGAGCATGTGAATTTGTTAAATCAGGGGAGATTTTTCTTGCAGGAGTTGCTTTAAGCAGTAAACCTTTGTGATTTCGTTGCACTAAACTAGATGCTATAGCACGAAGAAATGTTTTGCCGACAAATAAGTTGTAGCTAATACCACTTAAATTAATTTATCTTTGAAAAAGAGAAGGCTCAAAGATTTAGGTGTTTATCGGTTGGTTGCTGCATGTTTGGAATATTTTTCTTCGTGCATAATGTCTTTAATACGTATGTTTATTTACCAGCATAACAGAAATTAGTGCCATGTTCGTTAGTTGTTCTTTTATAATTCATCGGTAACAGAGATATTAAGGGGTTTTATGCTTATTATTATAATATAATGAAGATCTTCTAAGTTGATTTTTTTTATCTAGGAATAAGTTATGTGATTGTCAGAGGGAATTCTGCATACCTTTGATATAATTTCCACGATTTAATGTTTTGCTATTTTTAATCCGTATCTTTAATGTGAGATACAGGAAGGAGCATTCATATCACATGCTTCGTTGTTAGACCCAAAGATACGAAAGCTTGTAAGCAGTAATAATGCAATCGAAATTTTTGTCCTAGGCTGGCATTTAGGGAGATAATACAGCTAAAATTAGCTCGGTTTTCAAGAATGGAATTTTAGTCTTCACATTTCTCGGTTTTTTTTGCAGTGATGGAGACAGTGATCATGGTAGCAGTGAACCCAGTGGTACCCTCGATCTCACAATTGATTCTGTCGGGACCAACGAAACCACTCACAATACCAGAGAAATGCGCTCAGGGGCTGCCAATCGTTCGTATGCTGGCATGGATGACGATGATGAGGAAGTCTTGACTGGTCATACAGCATGTTCAAATGGTTCTTCAAGTGCTAGAAGACGGAAGAAGCTTGATGATGATGAGCCCTTTGAAGGTGATTTTAAATTCTTTGGTAATACTCCTATGATTTTAATGTTGCACCAGTATTTCAGTTCTTTTTCCGATCAGAGTATTGCTATAAAGATGAATTACGCCGAAAATAGATTATGAAAGTCACTGGATTTCTACCACCTCATCCGAACTGATCGACGCAAGAAGACATTCTAGCGAGCTCCGATTATGATGACGAGCGAAAGCTACTCAGACGCAAATTAACAAGAAGCCTTCGTAACGACCGTGAAAAGTGGTGGCCGACAAAAAAGCGAAAGAGACGGAAAAGGCATCGGCGATAGGTAACACCAGATAGCTATTTAGGCTTATCAGGGAAACAGGTGGTAAAAGGCAAATGATAAGTGAAACAATCTCTGAGAAAAATGGCACCACAATTAGCTCTCAGGATAAACGACTGGAACGTTGGAAAGAACTCTTTGAGGGGCAATGTGATTGGCCTACAGCCAAGCACAACTTACCCAGCATCCAACACCTCCCTGAATGGGATATAGATATAGGTCAGCCGTCCTTAACTGAAGTTGCTAATGCTGTCACTAGTCTGAAACGAGGCAAAGTTGCGGGACCCGATGGAATGACTCCAAAGGTGCTTAAGGATGGCGGAGAAAGTTTGTTGTCTGCGTTAACTGAGGTACTAGGCAGCGTCTGAGAATCAGAGGAAGTCCCGTTGGATTGGTGTAAGTCATTGGTTATCCCGCTATAGAAAAAGGGAGACAAGTCTTCCTGTGACAATCACATGGGTATTAGCTTGACCAATATGGTACCTAAAGTTCTAGGCTCAATAATCGTGCGTAAACTGAGCGGTCCACGGGAGGCACAAACACGAGAGAACCATGCAGTCTTTATACCAGGAAGAGGGTGTATTGATCATGTCTTCATCCCTCGACAGATTCTGAAACTGGCATACTTACCGGCGTCCAACAGTCGTCATTACTTCTTGACCTGAAAGCGGCATTCCATTCTGTTGACTGAGAGGTACTCTGACGGTGTTCGGTTGTGAAGGGAATACCGAGAAAATACATCTCACTGATCAAGGCACTCTACTCAAACTCACGCAGTCAGCCAGGTGAGGGCATACGGCGAGTTGTCATCTGAAGTTGTGACGACTAATGGTGTTCGTCAGGGATGCCCACTATCCCCATTTCTATTCAATTTCATCATAGATGTACTACTAGTGGACTTAATCCTAACTGACTTCAGAGACTCAGGGATTGACTTGTTACCATCAGGGAATAATCTCGTTGACTTAGAATATGCAGACTATATAGTCCTTCTAGGCGACAAAATGCAGAGTCTTCTAAACTCCTTGAGCTGCAATCTACGAATGTTTGGCATGCGATTCGCTCCCGTCAAACGCAAGATGATATTACAGGACTGGACTACACTGACTCTTAGTTTAGAAACAGGGAGTGCAGTGGCAGGGCAGGTTGACCGCTTCACTTATTTGGGAGGTTGCATCAGCCAGTGCTAACGGGTTGATCGCTGACGAAATCTCAGCACGGATACAGAAGGCTCGTTTCGCAAATACCAGTTTACGCCGTCTCCGGCGTAGACCAGATATCCGGCTATCGACCAAAGGGCGGATGTACTGCTCAGCAGTCCGCTCCGTCCTCCTTTATGGCTGTGAGACCTGGCCATTGAGAGTGGAAGACATGAAAAGATTAGCTGTCTTTGATCATAGGTGCCTGCGTTCTATCTCTCGTGTGAAGTGGTGTAATAATGTTAACAATATTGAAGTTAGGTGTTGAGTGCTAGGCAAGGAGAGGAAATCAATCGACAAAGTTGTGAAATTACACCGACTGAAATGGTTAGGATATGTGCCTAGTCATCCATCGCCTTCCTCGACGGGCAGTGTTAGCTGACACAGGGTCAGGCTGGAAAAGAGCTAGCGGCGGTTAAACCAAAACATGGCACCAGTCAATGAAATCCACAACAGTTAGTTTAAGCTAGCCACGTAGGAAGGTGTAGACTTCGTGATTGGGGTCCTCGGAACGGTGAAAAACCAATGGTTGGAAACATTTGGTGGTATTGCTCAAAATCGTTTTCAATGCATAGCGCAGATGCATCCTTCCGCGTCTTCTGATTTATAATATTCAATAAATTCTATTCCTGCATATCACTATTCTGTTTGCGTCATGCTTCTGTTTATTATATCTCGTTCTATTTTGTATCTCCACTCTTATTTCTTGCTTTGCATGTTACATGGAGTGTAGCCACCCGAAGTGTTGCACATGTGTACAAGGTTCTGCGTTGAAACCAATCAGTCAGTAGTGAAATAATTGACCTATTCCTACTCTTCCTCACATTCTTATCCCTTTTGTTAATTTTATTACCTTTTCGTATTCTCATTTAACGGCTGTGCCATTTCCTATCGTTCATATGTTCATATGAATCACTTAACTTTCACAAGAATAAGTTTATTCTAGTGTTGTTATTTGATTAACTACTGTCAGCTAATTTGCTTTTCTATAATCTAAGAGGGAGAACTTTGATGTCTAAGTATTGTTTTGCAATAGCTGTTCTCATGCCACGCATGACTTACCTTGATATTAATTTTTTTACTGATTATGATTCTTATTTAAAACCTGCAGTCCGTTTGAAGGAACCTGTGGAAGCCCGCTTCCCGCATATACGTAAGGCGTCGGAATCTGCTCGCAAGCGACGTGAACGTGTGAGTTTCGGTGTCATGGCGTCAAATAATTTGCCTGACAAACGAAATATGTCTAGAGATCCGAATGCAGGAGGTGAAACTGGAAGCCTTAAGCGATTTCTCAACAGACTGTCAAATATTTTGGAATCCATTGAAGAAACAGAGCTTTTGAAAAGTCTTGACGGCATATCAAACGTTGATGATCATTCACGCAAACCAAATGGTGAAGATGGATTTCCTTATGCAGACAAAGAGAGTTTGCTGACGGAGACTGTTATATCAGCGGAAGACTTAGCAGAGTTCTGTCGTGATGCTGCGAAATTGAACTCTGTGGGTGTTGCCAATCAGATTCCCACTGGACGTTTGCTCAATTTTCTTACGCTCTTATTACTAAATATCCGGGATGGTGCAAATGTGATCGCCGTATTAAGACCTGTGAGTTAAGGTTTTCCAAAACACTGATGTCATATTTTAATTATACCGTTCTCTTTCATTTTGCCATTGGAGTGATTCATTAAATAATATCCTTAAATTATCGTGTACAGGATTTATGCTAGCGTATACCAAATGATTGTTGATATGGTGTTTGTGAAGTAGCTTGATATTATATTAACACTTAATATGTACCTTTGCTATCATGCAACTATAGCTATTTCCTTGATGTTCGGGCTGAATAATTTTTAGAATTTATTATCTAGTCACTTTTACTTCTATGCAGTCATCGTCTAGGTGATAGTAGAGGTAGAAAAACGGAAGGTAATTATTAATTTTTTCACGTGCTGATCACTTTTCTCCGAGAGATAACCTTACTAATCGGTACTTGTTGTTTAAACTCATTTCCCCTAATAGGTCTTTCATGGTCCAGGCTGTTTCGCTTATTGTGTGAGGTCTGGTGATATTACTCAGTTGCCGAAGCTGAAGTAGGTGGAGCAAAATTCGAAACCAACTGATGATTGGAAGTCGAGTGCTTAAGCTAGTAAGCCACTTCTCCCCACTCATTGTTGTAAGATGCCTAGCGTACTAAAGCTATTCTATTATCTGATTTTTTTAATGTGGAACAATCTTAATTATTGAAGGACCGCCTATTTTTGCAGTCGGGCTTGTTAGTAAATTCAGTATTTTCGTCCGTACATCTATGTGCAATTTGTATTTTTCTTCCACTTATATACTGCCTCCTATACTTTACTTGACTCGGTGTGTAGGAAGAGGAAGCTGATGCTCACGAAAGCAAACTATGGAAAGAAGTGGCTATGGAACGAGTAATGCGCAGTATGAACTCTGGTCTAACTGCGTTGTTGCTGATGACTTCGAAAGATATGCCAAGAGAAGTGTATGTGGAAGATGTTATCGAGCGTACTGTACACAGTGTCAGATTTCAGTTATTCAACTGTATTTACCCGGAATTCGATCCCGCTTATCGTGTCGAAAATGCAGCTAAAGGTAATGGCATTTTGTATGCAGCTAGCAGTTGCTTCATTTCATTGAATTTCAAATGTGTTTCTCTTGTTAGCATGTCTTAATGTTTAACATAATATAGCTTTCAAGCTACCAATATTATAATAGAGAAGATTTGTAGCTCAGGTGGATGATTTGCGAATTCAAACTTTCGTAAATTATTTCACAGTTTTTTCACTGTAATTGGTTAAATCAATAGTGGCGTTTCACCAATCTATAAGATATACATCGTTTCATATGACACTAACGAGTAATCTGCTTTTTAATGGTCTTATTTTTAAAGTGGATATAGTTCGTTAGTCTCTAATATGAGCTGATAATTAATGAAAACTGGAAGTTTCCGTTTTCAGATGTTTTCTCCCGCATTTGGTCTTTTAGGTGGAGCGAATGTGCTACAAGTGTACTACAAATTATCTGTATGAAATTTTTAGTCTGCTTTCAAATAATCAGTTGTCTTTTACTCGAGTGATATCGTAATAAGTAAAGTGTGTCCTGAGTGTAAGGCGTGAATGCATAAATTTCGGTTTATCAAAAAATAGTATGCCGTTTGTGTAGTGATATCGAAGACCTAAGATGGGTCGAAATCCAACCATTTTTATTCGCTTATTTGTAACATGTGTCGTTAATTTCTGTGAAGCAGTCTTTTCCCGCGAAATAGTACGTATATATATACTGTTGGTAAATTAATTTTTAATTATTTTTTTAAAATTACTTGTTTGTATGCCCATTCTGTTATGCTTAATTCACTAATCATAGTTACTAAGATAATTTATAAATTACCTTGTAACTTTTTATGATAATTGCATGAACCACCAGTAGCCGTTTGCTAATTCATATCGCTATCTCTTTTTTCAATCAGAAAATCAAAGCAGTATTAAATCTCGACGTGCTCGCGAACGCGATGCACAGAAGCCGAAATCCATAATCCATCTCTATCACAAACTCGTGGAGATTGTATCTAATCTATCAAAACTTGTAAAAATGCAAAGATTGACCGATAGTCTCGTTCTTACACTGTCTAGTGTTGGTGTTTCTGTGTTCTTTGTTGAAAATGTTGGTGAGCTACAGCTTGCAGCCCTGGAATTGGTAACCGCAATATTTGCCCAGTATGAGACTCACCGGTCGCTGATAATAGAGGAAATATTAGCCAGTTTATCTCGTCTTCCATCGAGCAAAAGAAATTTGCGTACCTACAGGTAAGTTTTGCTTCAGTTAAATGTTCAGTCATCTCTTTTCAAATGTGTTGTCTGTACGACTGCATAAAGTAACTGGGACTGAGAGTATTGTGGAGAAATCAATAGCTTAACTGAGGAATACACATAAAACTTTGCACAGACAGATATCAGTTCAAAGTAACAATTAAATTAGCCAAAACACAAGTATAGTGAAACGAACAATCACTGGCTTTATCAGCTGACGTCACTTTTTCTTCTGACCATTCCTAACTCTTTTCTGAAATGATTATGATTTAGGTAATAGTGTTCGTATGGAAGGCCACTTCCGTCAATGGCGATTCACAAAGTCATCGGTTGATTGACTTTGTTTATATGACACTCGTCATTTTTTACCATCTAGTGCAAATAACTCAGGGGAGACACCTATGGTAAGATGTCATCAATCCTTCGACTTCTACTTACAGTCATAACTCAGCCGTAACGTAGAATAAAGTGCTGTGCTGCGCAAAACACATGCTATTCTGTCCGAAAGATGCAGTAGCCACATTAGCCTTCTGTATGTGTACTCGAATGTCATCATAAACCATTTTATCAAGGTTTGCTAAATTCTAAATCCTTTTTCACCAATCAGTCTTTTAAAGTTCTAGGTGGCTTATGTAATTCACGCACTCAAACACTTCATCCATTGTTCTTAAAGTAGAACTTGGTGCACATCATCGGTTTTGCGCCATCGTCATCTGTGGAAAACCTCAAGTCAAAAAACCAGAACTTTGGGTATTCATGGTAAGTTCATGAGAGCGTCTCCGTATAGGAAATCAGTTTCCGGTCACACAGTCATTCGCATCAGTACAATACTGATCCGATTGAACAAGTACGGTGGCATTCGACATGGTTGACGGACACGACTAGTCGCTTCAGTCGACCACTTCCCTATAGGCTCTCTTAATGCAATGCTAGGTAGTTTCGTATGTAGTATCTTTCTCGCTGAAGTCGGTTGTCAAAGTCGAATTCTACTCTCAGATTAAGAAATATGGCAAGTGTCAGAAACTCCTCCACACCTAAAACTTATCTGGTTTTCTGGGATTCGTCTTTCCGAAGCTCCATACATGGTCATGGCCTTATGTAATACAGTTTGCAAGTTAATCTCTCTATGGCACTACATGCCGTTTTGTTGTCTGTGCCGTGAATTCGGATAAACGAAGATCCGGACCATTCCAATGAAATTCTCTCAGATTCTCGTGCTCTAATTGTGCTTAGGTTATTTCAATCCATAATTTCTTATCGCCATCTCCAAGCTGGCACATGGCATCAGAAAAACTGTTAAATATTTTAACGAAGAACAATTTTTGTGGATCTACAATTTAGTCACCGAGGTAGTACAGACATACTAAAATTTCACTGACCAGCACCTGCTGGTAATAAAGACAAGAAGAAATACGAATAAAAGAAAGCAGTTCATGTATGAAATTATTGACAACAATTCATTTGTAATAAAGTAATTGTTTGCATGTGTAGCTTACAATATCCGTTGTGATATGTCACGGGGGTTTAGAATTGAATCGAAGCTTACGTCGAATTGTTTTATAATTCATGTGTGGGCTCAGGTACTGGCTGGATGCAGAGACCGAAAGATTAGGCAATGTGATACACAGGTTAGCAAAGCACTATCAGCAGCTCCATCTTCACAGTTGCTGACTCCGAAAGCAAATTTACACGCCATTCGTTCTCCGAATTTCAGAGCTCGTGTGCATCAAGAGTTCAGGATCAGAATTCCCTGACCCCCTCAAATCAGTCTTCCTTGTCCACTGATTTGACAGTGAATGCCGGACACACCCTTTCATATGTGCACAAAGCCTTAGCCGAATGAAGACAGTGAGTACGACTTATCTACCAATGACTGGATGAGTAGACACAAGAGCACTTTAGGAAGTTTCTTTGGGTTGTACAAAGTCATTCCTGAAGGCCTTGACTCCCATGTTATTATCTGCAGCGATTTATCCCTTAGAGTTTCGGACAAAAATAAAATATGCTTTGATCCGTTGGTTATGTGAAATGGCGTGTCAAAAGATAGTAGTTTCTGTCCACAAATTATTGAAACTATCTGAGAAATTCCCCGCCAATTAGTTTTTGGGCTAAAAAACGTATTTTTCCCTGTTTGGTCAATCTTTCTAGCTCTTAAAATCTAGGAAAAGTTGCTTATTTCTCGTAGACCATTTGATTAAAATTGTATTAGGCACCACCTAAATCTGTTTATGGGTAAGATATAATCACCGCTGGTTTAGTCTAGTGCATTTTTATCCTGCTTATGAAAACTTAGTATTGATTTTTGCGAATTACAGATTAAATAGTGAGGATAGTATTCAAATGCTTACTGCACTAGCGCTATTGTTAGTGCAGTCTGTAGTGAACCTCCCGGACCCGTCACCAATGAATTCAGACAACTCCACTTCCTATCAATGTCCTACTGCTGCTGCATCATCTGATGGAAATACATTTCAAAAGGCAGATGATGAAGTTACGATTATCAACTCTTACCACAATGCTCTTCGTACAGCTCACACCTTCCTACTAGTTTTTCTTCGGAAGTAAGTTCACTATTTTTAAATCATAATTGTTTTTCAAATTAAAATGTCTTTTAAATTGTAAAGTTATTGTAATTTCTGAAAATATTCATCTCAGTATAATTTCTTTGTACTCATAAAAATTTAACACTGTTTGCTACCATCTATCAATGTAACACTTCTTTCTTCGATTACTCTAGGTCAACAATGAAAGGTGAAGATGACTATAGAATTATATTTGAGAATTTTGTTAATGACCTGCTTCTAGCCGTCAATAAACCAGAATGGCCGGCTTCAGAGGTTATGCTTAGTCTTCTTGGTAGCCTTCTGGTACAACAATTCAATAACAAATCACTTGATCAAAGTGTTCGTGTTGCGAGTGTCGACTACCTAGGAACAGTGGCATCCACACTACGCCGCGATGCAGTAACTAGTCAGCTGAAGGAAAACGATGTCGATGCTGTTATTCGCGATCTCCTTGAAGGCAATCAGTCGGATGACGATGACGATGACTCTGAAGAAGATTCTCAAGACAATGTTGTTAAAACTGATGATACGGGAGATATAAACGGTGAACACGAATCTAATTTGGATGTAGATAAAAATAAGTCAGAATCAGATATTCATTCAATTGATTCTGTTTCAACTACAGAAACTCCAAAGTATCCTAATGGGAATGGTCACATTTGTACAAACAAGGTAGAAGAAGCAAAATGTGTTAAAAACAAAGGCGTAAGACAGAAAAAAGAGGATAGAAATAAACACGTAGATCCTATCTCACAACTGGATCGGGTTCAAGCTCTACGTGATGCCATTTTAGACTACCTAGCAGCAGAGGAGGCTAGCCCCACAGCAGTCGTAAGTGTATTCTATCCTTACACGTGATTTGTTTGAAGCACTTTTATTGTAGAGTTGAAGTAAAATTTTATTGACGCAAATTTTCTTATGTAGTCTGTAATCGCTAGGAAAACAGTAACTTATATTAATTCAAGCCTCCACCTTTGTTACTCCATAGTTTTCAGTGGTCAAGTGACAATTAGATACTATCAATCAACCATGAAGTATGTGAGTCACCTTTGGATCTTGTGTGTGTGTGAGTTATGATACCACTTTTCTCCTCGTTAGTAACTCATTTCAAGCTTCATCTGAAATATGTTAGTCGAGCGTCAGTTGGATTTACGTTATCAACCCATGAACAGTGGTTACCAGTTAAAACTCAATTGCACACGATGTATGACTAATATATAAAATTGTAGCCATCAACATTTACAAGAAATGTGAACTTCAAATCACCATATTACAATGTTGATCAACTCTACCTAAAAAACAACTGGTTTATTGGGTGAAATCAGAAGACAACTTGTACCGGAATACGGAACACTTGAGAATTCAAGTATTAAAAAAAGCATATTGATCCCTTAGGTCTATTATCTATATGATGAGATGTTTAAATAAGAAAGTAATAGCCTTATCTAACTGTGTTAAACCTCTTCAAACGAATAATCTAGTAGAATCTGTCTCTGATTGCGTCTTTAAAAACTAACACTGAAAGAAAATGTTTATTCAACATTCATACGTTGACTGAATGTAGGATTAGTTTTGCCTACTGGTTTTGTCCACACTATCAATACTGACAATACAGAGTCTGGGCCTTGCTATGGTTCAAACTCAGGCGACTTAACATAAACTTTATGTTTCTAAAATATAATTTTCTATAGTTGGTTTGTAAGGATTGGTTTTGTTTTTACGAGTTGATCACTGATTGATATAAATTGAATAATACAATTACACAAATGTAGCCGTCATTCAATGAAAGGTAAAAACGCACCTAACAGTAATAACTTGTGGAGCAAAATGACTAGCAAATTACTTTACATACACAGTATAACAATTATCCAAAAGTGTTGGGCGTTTACATTAAATTAAACAACAATCACGGGAGACAGGTCAGATCATACTGATTGATGAATTGTCACATATCTGTCTGTTAACATTAACAGCTAGCTAAAGTCCTATTGATTGCTGTACTGTCATAAAGTCTCAAACTTTTAAATAAGTTTCTCATCTCGAAGCACGGTAGAACAAAATTAGTGGTAGGAAACTTTCCATTGTATTGCTCAAGATCGTTCACAGTTCCGTATTCTGCAAATTTGCGCTAAATTTAGTTTAGTTGTTCTCTTCGTCATGTGCTTTTTGATTTTTAGTATCATTATGTTTATCTTTTATTTTATGTATGCACGTTCAATGTTTGGTAGCCTAAATTGATGCACTATGTGGAAATTTTTACTGTAATTTGTTAGTCAGTCAAATAAGATAAATTGTCGAAAGGATGGTCTGAGGTAGAGCAAATTCATTGAAAGTGGTGCGATATGCTTGATTAACTTTCCCCCACACACACTATTAGGTACACAGATATCCAGATTTGTGGTGTTATCGTAACTGAGGTATACGCAGACCTGTTGCTGGAACATATTTATCATGCACTAGGGTGTAATTCACACTTATCCCGTGAGGGCTGGTAATGCTAGCCAGCCGCCCTAGTTAAAGGATAAGCAAAAGTCTTACTGGGGACACTGTGCGGAGGTCAAGCGTTAAATCTAATGTATGACGTTCAGGTCGCACTACATTTTCTTATTTGTTTTGGCTACTGAAATATTGTAAACAATCTCCGTTATTCATTCGTATCCTACTAGTTGGTGAAAAACTTACATTAGTCTGAGTTTTAAACACCAGAATTGCTGAGATGTCGAGAAGTCATTTTATAACACCAGGTAACAAGCGCGATAAAGTCCTCACGTCAAAGTTGTTTCTGTCTGTCTGTCTGTCTGGATTCAACATAGAACTTGGCACCGAAGTGCAGCAGTTCGAGTTGCCACGTTCCAAATAGCACACAGAGGTAGACAAGAAGATGAGTGAAGGGAATTAATAGAGTTTGACAAGTATAAGAGTGAAACAGAATGGGTAATGGTAGAAAGGAATATGAAAGATTACAGAGACTGAATACATCTGCGCCATTGACAACGATTTTGAGCCATGTCACCTACTGTCTCCAGCCATTGATTCCTTGAGTCCCGAGGGCCCCAACCCGGGAGTCTGCATCTCCCTACCTGACTCAGTTTAACTGTCAAGGATTTCATGGATTGATGCCATGTTTTTGTTTGGCCACCACTGGCTCTTTTCCAACCTGAACCTATATCAGCTAGCGAAGCCCGTCGGGGGAGGCGGTGGTTAGGCATGCGCAGCACGTGACCTAGCCATCTTAGTCTATGTAACTTTATAGCCTCGTCGATTGATTTTCCCTCTTTGCCCAACACTCTACGCCTAACGTCAACATTACTTATCTTGTGAAACCACCTAACGTGAGATAGAGATCGCAGACATCTATGATCGAAAGCAGTCAACCTTTTCATGTCTTCAACGCGTATTGGCGTTGTTTAGTTTGCTTAAAGGGTTAGTAACTGAATACATACTTTGTGTTTCACGGAGTTACTGGAGAAGAAGGGGAAATGTTTGTGAAGCCAAATTTAATAAGAAAATTTTCCAGGACAAACATGTATTACTCGTTGAATTATGAGCATTTCCATTGCCTCTATGGTTTTTACACACACCTTTTTGTATTTTATAATAGGGTATAAATAATTATCAGGCGTGTACTTACACTTATGCAAAGATTTTCACTTATGTGAACTAGAACCTCAGGTTTACATACAAATTTATTGCTTCAGTTAGGTTTTATTTTAGTAAGTTGTTGATTATTTACCTTCTCATTCCTTCTTTGGATGGTAGATGGTTCATAACTGTTATGCACAATCCGTTTATTGCGTGTTGTTATTGTCACTTGTGGTACAACTAGATACCATACTGGTTTCTGTCTATTTCTTTCACGTATTCATGTTTCATGCCATAAAGACATAAAATAAATATTCTCTTTTATATGACGTAGGTGCGGTAAAGTTGTTTCATGCCGACATTTTCGTCGCGTATTACTTTTCTGTGTATACTGTTTCATGTATAAATTGATTTTAGTTTGTTTAACCTACTATATATTTCCACAATAATGTTCGAGCCCGCACACCTGATATCTATGGTCGGCCTGCAAAATTTGGGCTACCGATATCCATGCTGAAAATTCCATACTTGTACCGAAAATACAGTGTGGAATCCAGCTGTAAATCAAAAAAAAATATCACAAGTTCTGTTTGTTCCTCTCATTTGTGCAACTTTCAGTTTTTCTTCTTTTTGATTTTAGTATGCCCGAAAATTTTACTTAGCTCAGTGGCTTAATGATTGTACGAAAGAAACAGAACGGGCTCAACGAAATGTGATACAGAAGAAGAATCAGAATGCAATAATGAATGGTGAAATCGAAGCAACTAGTGCAACCAAAAGCTTTTCGGACGTTGATCAGGAAATAGTTTTAGCGATTGCAGAAAGAAGGAGACAACATATTTTATCGAAGGTGAGGGAAGCCCCACAAGCTTGGCGGCAGCGTAGGTGTCTTTGGAACAATTCACTACCACTTAATGAGAAGCAAAAGCAATCTGGAAATAGTTGCAACCCGGATGCAATTCACGAAACAACACTTGTTTTCCAAGGCACATTAGACTATGAAGACTGTTGTTTGGTGTGTCGCTATCTCGCAAGCCTTCGTCCATTTTCTCAAAGTTTTGATGTTTACTTGTCACAAATTTGCAAGGTACAGTTTTTCTATTTTAAGTGATTTCTAACAAATGTGATCTTATTAAAGTAGTATTCACCCCCCCCTCTAATGTCTTGTACTATGTTGGTTAGTTCACTTTCTCCGATGCCCTCGAAAGAAAGGCCATCATGCTAATGGAGTACTCTTTCGTTGTTTTCAGCGCACGCTAGACGTATTGTTAACTAAACAATGGCGAAGATTTGTTTTGCCAACGAAATTAATTTGTATTCAAACTGTTCTAACTTTTCGCCAACATAAGGGTGTATTTTCCTAGCACCACTTATGAGTGGACTTAGCGTTTCCCTTCAGTAAACTTTGTGATTCTTATATGTTTCATGGGCATTTTAGTACGTTATCTTTCATTAACAATTCGTCAGGATGTTTTCCTCTGCAAACTGGTGATTCATTAAGTATTAGAATATTTGATACTTGCTGATTAGTCAGTTACTAAATCGATTCTGTATTTACAGTCAGTCTGTAGTCTTATTCTCATGATCAGACTTCTCAGATATTTGTTAGCTGTTACTTTTGGTTTAAGTTAATTTGTCTTAATTATTGCTTTAAAACCTTTACTTAGGGTTATATCACATTGCATGTGTGACGGGTAATCTAGTTCTTGAATTAATGGTGATTATAATTTGTTTCTTGTGTTCGATCTGTTTTCACCATATTGCCATTCATTTTTGCACATCTTATTAACATTTCTGTCTCTATAAGTATTCATTCTCTATCATTCAATTTCAGTTGTTGAGCGAGTCATCTGTGGCTGTTCGTACGAAAGCACTGAGGTGTTTGTCAGCTGTAGTGGAGGCTGATCCTAATGTCTTAGCTAGAGTGGATATCGAACGTGCTGTACATTCTCGTCTTTTAGATACTTCGACTTCTGTTCGTGAAGCAGCTGTAGATTTACTTGGTCGATTTTTAAGCTGTAGACCTGAGCTTACTGCTCAGTATTATCCCATGTTAGCCGAACGTATACGGGATAAAGGTGTCAGTGTCCGCAAGCGAGTCATTCGGATTCTTCGCGATATCTGTCTTGAGCAGCCAGATTTTCCAAGAGTTGCAGAAATATGTGTTAAAATGATTAGACGTGTGAATGATGAAGAAGGAATCAAGGTAACACTCGTTTTATATACTACGTATTGTTTTATTATATGATTTTGTTTTCATGGCATTTATTATTTGTACACCTGAGTCTCAGTCAGTTAGCTACTGTTACGAATATACAACACCATACCTTTTATCGCTACATAAATTTCTATAGCCGGTTATAACATACGTGACACATTTTGCATGAAGTATTCACACAATATACAAGCCACCAACACTACATGTTTCACTCTCCATTTTTGAACTACACTTTTCTATACGGACTAATGATATTTCATTTAACATATCTTTTCGGTGCTATCAAACTAGTAACTTATGAGTTGTACATGTATCTCAGTAATCATGCATAGACTAAGCAGAACTCGGGAGGAACAGACAAGGGAAAATCAAGCAGGCTTTAGACCAGGTAGAGGGTGCATAGATCATATCTTCACTCTTCGACAGATTCTAGAACATAGACACACTTTTCGGCGTCCAACAATTGTCATATTTCTTGACTTGAAGGCGGCCTTCGACTCCGTGGATCGAAAGGTACTATGGCAATGTCTGACTGTGAAGGGAGTGCCAAGAAAGTACATTGCACTAATCAAGGCACTCTATTCAAACTCACGTAGTCGTGTAAGGGCTTATGGGGAATTGTCATCTGAATTGGTAACAACCAGTGGTGTCCGACAGGGATGTCCACTTTCCCCATTTCTGTTTAACTTCATCATAGATATGCTAATGGAAGTATCCTTAACTGAACGTAGTGACTTAGGAATCGACTTGTTACCAGGGAATAATCTAATGGACTTAGAATATGCAGATGACATAGTCCTGTTAGGGGAGGATGCTGACAAAATGCAGAGTCTTCTGAACACCTTGAGCAGCAATCTTCGTATGTTTGGCATGCGATTCGCCCCTGCAAAATGTAAGATGCTGCTACAGGACTGGACCCGTCAACCCCTAACTTAGTGATAGGGAGTGAAGTGATAGAACATGTTGACCACTTCACCTACTTGGGAAGTTGTATTAGCACCAACGGACTGATTGGCGATGAAATCTCAGCACGGATCCGAAAAGCTCGAGCTGCTTTCGCTGACTTACACCATCTCTGGCGTAGGCGTGACATCCGGTTATCAACCAAGGGACGTGTGTACTGCTCATCAGTTCGCTCCGTCCTTCTCTATGGCTCTGAAACATGGCCAATACGCGTTGAAGACATGAAAAGGTTGACTGCTTTCGATCATAGATGTCTGCGATCTCTGTCTCACGTTAGGTGGTTTCACAAGATAAGTAATGTTGACGTTAGGCGTAGAGTGTTGGGCAAAGAGGGAAAATCAATCGACGAGGCTATAAAGTTACATAGACTAAGATGGCTAGGTCACGTGCTGCGCATGCCTAACCACCGCCTCCCCCGACGGGCATTGCTAGCTGATATAGGTTCAGGTTGGAAAAGAGCCAGTGGTGGCCAAACAAAAACATGGCATCAATCCATGAAATCCTTGACAGTTAAACTGAGTCAGGTAGGGAGATGCAGACTCCCGGGTTGGGGCCCTCGGGACTCTAGGAATCAATGGCTGGAGACAATAGGTGACATGGCTCAAAATCGTTGTCAATGGCGCAGATGTATTCAGTCTCTGTAATCTTTCATATTCCTTTCTACCATTACCCATTCTGTTTCACTCTTATACTTGTCAAACTCTATTAATTCTCTTCACTCATCTTCTTGTCTACCTCTGTGTGCTATTTGGAACGTGGCAACTCGAACTGCTGCACTTCGGTGCCAAGTTCTATGTTGAATCCAGACAGAAGTCGATTGATTCCTAAACCATGTAGTCACTGACTTAACTTTTAAGAAGTGTATACTACCTGTTAAAGTCTCGAAACAGGGCGAAATGAACAGTTGGAAGCAGCGTTAGGGTGACTGAAATTCTGTGGCTATTATTCGAAGAGTGTTGGAGGTATTTTTTTTTACAATATCAGATTCTGTTTCGAATGTTACTCATCTGTTTCTTCAATGCTCACTGGGACTGACTGAAAAGAGCAAAGATGTCACATTTGTGTTGTCGGAAGAAGTGCACAACAACTGCATCACGCTAACATTTGCAGCTTTCTTACTACCACCAGAGATCTGAGTTTAAGATGAGAATTGAGGGGTTATGTCGTGATCAAGTGTACTCCAATGTGACATGAGTGACAACTAATCATACCGTAACTTACTTAGTCTTGTTACTTTTGAAAATTAATATAAAAATATCTTGGAATCTGTGCTGTTACCTACCTCCTATGCTTTTCCAGCTCTTTCGATTTTGCCCCATTGCCTTTTTAAGAACTTTAAGTATGCTCCCAAGTATATCCGCATATCCAATCTTCTCATATTCATTGCCCGTCGGAATCAGTCTTCATATGACTCCTAGTTCCGTTTACTGCTTCTTCTTCAAAGCCTCCCTTGGTTTGGGTCTTCCTAACAGTCTCAGATACAGACTTTACTATTTCTTCCCTAAATAGAGACTCCATGTCCTCATCAAGAAGTTGAGGCGTATCGGTTTCATAGATGCTTGTTTTCTATGTTCGTTCAGACGTAGGCATACACACTCATAAAATGGCCATATTAGTGTTGTTTCTAGCAGCAGCTACTCTGGATGCTATTAATCACCTCACTGTTCAGAGTGGATATATATATATATATATCCGTAGTATCAGTACACTTTGTACATGAATATGAATAGTTTCACTGTATAGACTAAAACGATAACAGTGAAAAATTCGACTGTCATGGCTCAAAATCTAATGAACACGAAAAGTAGTAGCAATCATACATGATGATTTGTAGCTGAGTATGAGGTAAATATATGTATTTGCATTCCACTAATAATTAGTAATTATAAAAGAAATCTTGGGGAATTTATGTTAAAACGTAGTAAGATAGACAGTGAGACGCTGCACACTTACCCATCAGTGATACAGTATGATTCCTTTAGAAATTGTTTAAGCGTCAATAATAAAACACATGCACGACTTGTACGAATAGCATCTCGCATTATAGGTAGACTTGTCTGACGTGATTTAGATAACCTGTCGAAGAGTGCAACTGGATCTTCCTCTTCCTCTATTTCAAAAGGACCCAAGTCAACCCTGGAAAAACCTAAAATAAAAGCATAGAATTAGCGAAATAACAAAAAAGAAATTCCAACCAATAAAAATAACAAAATTATTTCCCTAATAGCATTTAACTAGCTAATATTGATACAAACAGATAGGGCGAGAACTTACTTTCGCGTCCAGGAAGGGTATTGGAAGAAAGCTCAGTCGTGGATGTGCTGCTTCCCATAACTGGGGGGTTAGACGAATTCAGACTGTTTATTCGTTGGATAGTATGCTGAATTTGATCGTTGAATAAACCAGCTGTAGCATGATCACCTCTGCTGAGAGCTTCAGTTGAAGCAGCGTGCTGTGCCTGAAGTTCGGCACGCAATTGCATTTCCATCTGCGCTCGGTTCTTTGCATCAGCTTCAAGCTGAGCAGCGACGACAGCCTCAAGAGCTGCTTTTAACTCTGGGAAAAGTGCCTCACGAACATTATTCAGAACTCCCGAACCTGCCATACTAACCATCAAATCTATGTGATGGACAACAAACAATGGTTCTTCTTGCGATTGATATGGAAAGTGTGCCAAATTATCAGCAACATAAACTAACTGACTAAGAGAAATCCTCTGAAATAAAAAGAAATAACTAATTACAATCCGAATAAGTGAAAAAATATGTAGTTTGGAAGTTATTATTATATGCATTGCTGTTCAATAGCTCACACACTGAAATTACAATCAACGTATTGTTAGACATTATAATTTTGTTCCACTTACTGATATTTCAGCAGTACAATAACCTTTAGAGTTTTTAGCGGTAAACTAAACAGCTTTTGTGGAAACTCCGCCGGTACACCATCCGAACTGTAGTTGGTCGGCGTGGAAGTGGTAATCACAAAATGACACCTACGGATATTGAAATTTTTCCTTCTAACGTTTTTAATTGAACTGGATAGCGCACGTAACGGTTTTGTACTGAGATCTAGTCAAGTAGGATTTCCTCCGCCTCACTATGGGATGCTATTTCTACACCTGCAATGTGACTCGAGCTAGCCGAAGAATGTCCTAACTCTTGTAAGGTGAATCTTGCGTATTCCTGTTGTTCAGGTGGTGGGTTTTTCGGGTGGGGTGAATAACCACACTTGAGTCGTGTGTGCTTCTTTCCGAGACACAGCATATACCCATGCCTCGAGATGCTGGAGTTGTGACTTGTGAGGCCTGTTGTCCAATTAGACAAAGCGTCTCAGCGTTGAATGCTGAAATATGAAGTAGGCGGCGTGGAATTACGAGTAGTGCTTTCCGATTCTGGTTGTTATTAATAACCTCATTGTTAAGAGAATGTGAGTCGTACACCAGTGGAATAATGTTAATAGTGGGGGTGGGGTGGGGATACAGAGGATGAAGTTGGCAGACATGATTATAGGCAGTGATGAGGAAGACTGCGTGTACATAGAAGTGAGTAAACATTTATTGCATCCCGACTATCCACGCTGTCGAAGCTGATTTCTTTTATGGATATCCGAAGCAGAAAGTCCTTGAGGAGTGTTAGGGGACCAAAGTGCTTATGGGACAACGGTTTGGGTCTGGTTGGGTTGAATTTTGTGCCTTCTTCTCAGTGTGAAGGGATAGCAAAGATGGTCGTTGTGGGGGGGGGGATACTACTACTACAACTTTGTCCTCAAACCGTCAATCCTAGTGTAAGTGACTTTCGTTAGGATGGTAACTGCTTTCAGTCTAACAGCTATCTTAAGGGTATTTCTTGGCATAACAGAATCTATGCGAGCATTCGTTCTAGACATCGAAGCTCGTTTGGTTAATATAATGTGTTATCTTGATGACAGTATTAGGGTAGCTAATATCGTCACTGACCCATGTTTACGTCAGTAAATGTGGCAATATTCTCTGGTATGTGTATATGTTGCATGGAGTTGTTTCAGTGAATTCCAGCATTTAACTCTATCGATTTTTATCGTGTTTTCCACTGGTATCGTTTGTTGTGCTTAGTTTAAGTTTTCAGCAGAAATTTTTTAAACATTATTGATTCTGCTTGTCATTTGCTGCAGGTATATAATGCACTGACACATGATAGTAAAAATAATGTGTATGTGACCCTTTCTATGTATATCGCGTATTTGTTCTGTGGTTCGAAGAAGTCCGGAAATTATTAATTTATCCTGGGACTTACATATGATTTCACTAAAGAACATACGTTTTTAGTTTATTCTGGGTCCTGTGCGACATGATGTCTTGATTTACATCCGTAGTCAATGAAATAAGTATCTATACTTAAACGTTATCACGTTTGCACGAGACTCGAATCTCACTCTCAAAGCAAATAAACGTGGGAAACTATCAACGTGTGTTAAGAATTCCATGTTAATCGTCACGCGTTATCGTTTTTTTTGTTTCCCCGTATTCTTTTATTTGTCAGAAACTTGTTCATGAGGTCTTTCAAACAATGTGGTTTACTCCGGTACGTGAAAGGGAAACTGTGAAGCTGCTACGAAAGGTAATGAATATCACGGATGTTGTTGGTGCTTGTAAGGACACTGGTTACGAATGGTTTGAACAGTTTTTACGAACTGTAAGTACTTCTTTTTTTTTTACCACTTTTGATCCTCACTATTGTGTGTAATTTTTATTGTGTCGTCTCAGTTAAATTAATGTAAAACAAATGATTTTTTATGCCTATACGTTCCAAGTGGAACATAGAGCTTCAGTCTAGAGGCGTCGGCCGGAGATTGAACCCCAGACCATCTGTTTGGTTGGCGAGCATTCTACCACTGTGCCTCCGACACACAAAACAAATGATAGGCTTTCATGTTTTTATCCACTTTTGAATTATTCCATGCAATTAGTTTCACTATTATTGGGTGTGAAGTTTTTCGATGGGCTTCTTAAATGTTTCACTTTTCGCATATTGTACTAAGTACATCTTATTTAATTCTTTTCAGCTCCTGAAAAAGGAAGAGACTGAGAAAGTTAAACCAGTTGAAAAGGCATGCAAACAGATAGCGGATTGTTTAGTTCAAAATATTATGCGATTGGAAGGTGAGATAACTATAAATCTAACACTTGTTTTGGTTTTAGCTGTTTACCTATAGTATAACACCTACTAAGTAAAAATAGCCCAACCATTCTGTATAACCTGTAATTTTTCACTGTAGGTAAGAAGAGTGAACGGTGGTTTCCTGATTTACTGTGGACATAATAATAGATAAACATGCATCACGAATAATCTACATTGTTGTGTGAAATGCAAACAGTTATAGAAGGCATTTCTTCACAGATATTCCAGAATTATTGCTTAATTTATGATTCACTGATATTATTTAATTGGTGTATATATACGTATATACATAATTAGCCTATCGTAATCTGTTATCTTATGTTCTGAATTCATTTAATTAGTGTGTTAGAGCTAGTCTTCAGTCGGAAGACGTATATGCACTAGAATTCATGAGCATGAAAAATGAGTCATCATCTTTGCAATTTAACGTCAGTTCAAAAAACTCATTTATTATCAGCAGATTTATATCCTTTTTAAATACAATTGTAGAGATTTCAAGCCAAAGCAATCACAGACTGGTCGCGTGTTTAGCAACACTTCATTTGTTGACCAAGATTAGACCAGAACTAATGGTACAATACACCATGGTACTACAACCCTATTTGTCAATTCGGTGCAATAAGGCTTCAGATGCTCAGGTATTGCATTATGTCGCCAGGATATTAGAAGCTACGCTACCGTTGGTGGAGCATCCTAGTGAAACATTTGTGGCACAACTTGAAGAAGATATGGTTCGTCTAACACTGCGCCATGGGAAAATGGTTTTGGAATCTTGTGTTGCATGTCTTGGAGCAGTTGTTAACAAAGTTTCAAAAAATTACTCTTTAGCAAGAGACTGTTTCACGCGATTTTTCAACGCTCTTCAAAAGTTTCGTAGCGAACTGTCAGATGATCCAGAACGCAAAATTTGTCCGACTATCCGTCCTACGATTCTTCGTGCTTTGTTCACTGTGGGTTTATTATGCAAACACTTTGACGCAGATGTTTTCCAATCGAGCAAAACTGTAAGTTAGTTTTTGAGTTAATTTTATTGTCATTGCAGTAGTATTTAATTGCATATAAGCCAGTTAATCAGTATTATTTGTCCCATATTAATTAAGTTTTGGTGTGTGCTACTTATAATGAACAAATTTATTTGTTCCTATAGTTCGTTTCTACAGCATTCAGTTTAACTCTTTTAGCAATAGAACGTGTCATGGGTTTTTATGCGTCCATTGGGTGTTACTCATTTCGTTGTTGATTTAAAAAAGTGTACACAGCATTCCCTCACTTTTTGTATTCATTTCCTTTCCTTTGCAGTCTAATATTCGAGATCAGGTGTTTGAAACGCTGATGTTTTTCACTGAACAAGTCAAGTCCGATATAGAGATGCGGAAGAAGGCATTGTCCGGTCTAGGCTTCCTCTGTACTCGTCATCACGAGTTACTCTGCGGTCCTCGGTTATGCAAATTTTATCATGATCTTTTGCAAGCTTCGTGTGATGATTTCAAGTCTAAACAGTGTGATCACCAATTAGAATTAAAGTACATCGTACTAGAGAATTTGCTAAATTTTTTCCTTGAGGAAGAAAAACGAATGTTAGAAGCAGACGCGAAATGTAGGTTTTTGGTTTTTATATAATCTTTTGCATTTCTAGAAATTCACTAATTGATATTATTAGTTTGTATTTTTTGCCTTCATATTCGTGATTCATTATCACATCTTATAGGTAATAGGGTTTACTAAACATCTTCGCTTACTCCCACCACGTTAGCGGCACAGCGATTGGGACTCTCTTTGACCATGCATATGGTCCGGGGTTCGACCCCCTGCCGACGCATACCTGATATCTATGATCTGCCTGCTAAATTTTGGCTACCGATATTACATGCTGAAAATTTTATACTTGTACCAAAAATACGGTGTGGTATCGAGGCATAATCAAAATAGAAAAATAAAAAAATATGTATTCTTAAAATAAGGATCACATAAGTAGATCAGGTTACTTTTGTTGTGTGCATGCATTTACACACCGGTCTAGTAATTAATATGATTCTTATCTCCTCCGTTCACCGACTTTAGCAGACTAAAAATATTATTTGTACCTGAATTCGACATTTGTTTTCTTGGATCTTTTCATACAGTCTTAGAACTTTTAAAAGTATAATTTGCTTAATGCAAGCCCGAATATATAACTGATAGTATTTATGGAGATAGGTCAAAACGCATGGGTGAGCAATCAAAATAAATAAAGCACGGGATTGTGAAGACAGTGCTTTTAAAGAAATCGTTTATTACACAACAAAAGATATAAACAGTTAGAAAAAATATTTGAACTATTTACTAGTTAATGTTCAACGTGGAGTTCAACATTGATCTCTTCTTTCTAGGTCTTCAGTCTCAATTGTTTCATCGTCAAAAAACCGCTCTGAAATTTATATTTCTCATATTAAAACTACCTTTATTCTTGTGTGTTTCAGGGAAGGCTAGACAACATCAAGAATCATTAAAAGAAATGGGGGATATCGCCTCAGGTATGGGAAGCTCAGTTGCACAAACATATCTTAGGGACATACTCGAGTCATTCTTTTCACCATTTTTCACTGTTCGTCTTACTGCCTTATCAGTTATCACAACAATTCTTCGTCAAGGTCTTATTCATCCAGTCCAAACCGTACCTTATCTGATAGCTATGCAAACCGACGTTGATCCGAATATTCGTATTAAAGCTGATGCTCAACTTCAAGAAATCGACACGAAATTTCCTGGTTTTTTGACGGTAAGTATAATTTTTAAATTACTTTAGGAATTTTGTTTTGCATTTTCATATTTAACATCTCTGCATTTTTTCATCTCTTACAGATGAGAGCTGCACAGGGTGTCAATTTATCGTATCGTCTCCAAATCGTTTTGTATAATGAGCTGCGCGAAAAACCGAAAGTAAATCCTAGTGGTTCCTCACAACAAATTGGCTCACCTGAATTATCAAACGTTCATAAATCCACTAACATTATTTCTGTCCGTCGAAGTAGTCGCAATAAAGTTGAGACTGATAGCTTAGGTTCTGATGATAACTCCAGATGTACATTACCTTCGAATGTTCCTGATCACCAATCTTCTTTCAACGTTCCGGAAGACTCTTTTGGTGCTATTCGTGGGACCAGAGATCCCTTCAGTGAAGTCCCTACTGCTCTCAACTCAAATTTGTATTCTATGCTCAGAAATAATAAAAGTCAACGTCGTTCTCTACTAAACGGCCTCATATCACTCTTTGATGACTCGCAGGTTCGTGTGTGTTAAAATATATTTCTAATGCCTGCACATAATGGTTTTTTCCTAATCATTTCGTCTCATTGAAACATGTGTTACAGCTATTCGCAGGGTGTTTTTTTTTTGGTTTTGTTAACAAGCATTGTCAGGTTAAATAAAAGCGTAGGAAAGTTTGTCATCATAAGCAGTCTTATTCAGTAGGTTATCTGTTGACCGCATCTCTCGTGTGAGCACCGGTAATCGTACTGAACTGCTGAAATATCAGTAAGTGGAACAAAATTATAATGTCTAACAATACGTTGATTGTAATTTCAGTGTGTGAGCTATTGAACAGCAATGCATATAATAATAACTTCCAAACTACATATTTTTTCACTTATTCGGATTGTAATTAGTTATTTCTTTTTATTTCAGAGGATTTCTCTTAGTCAGTTAGTTTATGTTGCTGATAATTTGGCACACTTTCCATATCAATCGCAAGAAGAACCATTGTTTGTTGTCCATCACATAGATTTGATGGTTAGTATGGCAGGTTCGGGAGTTCTGAATAATGTTCGTGAGGCACTTTTCCCAGAGTTAAAAGCAGCTCTTGAGGCTGTCGTCGCTGCTCAGCTTGAAGCTGATGCAAAGAACCGAGCGCAGATGGAAATGCAATTGCGTGCCGAACTTCAGGCACAGCACGCTGCTTCAACTGAAGCTCTCAGCAGAGGTGATCATGCTACAGCTGGTTTATTCAACGATCAAATTCAGCATACTATCCAACGAATAAACAGTCTGAATTCGTCTAACCCCCCAGTTATGGGAAGCAGCACATCCACGACTGAGCTTTCTTCCAATACCCTTCCTGGACGCGAAAGTAAGTTCTCGCCCTATCTGTTTGTATCAATATTAGCTAGTTAAATGCTATTAGGGAAATAATTTTGTTATTTTTATTGGTTGGAATTTCTTTTTTGTTATTTCGCTAATTCTATGCTTTTATTTTAGGTTTTTCCAGGGTTGACTTGGGTCCTTTTGAAATAGAGGAAGAGGAAGATCCAGTTGCACTCTTCGACAGGTTATCTAAATCACGTCAGACAAGTCTACCTATAATGCGAGATGCTATTCGTACAAGTCGTGCATGTGTTTTATTATTGACGCTTAAACAATTTCTAAAGGAATCATACTGTATCACTGATGGGTAAGTGTGCAGCGTCTCACTGTCTATCTTACTACGTTTTAACATAAATTCCCCAAGATTTCTTTTATAATTACTAATTATTAGTGGAATGCAAATACATATATTTACCTCATACTCAGCTACAAATCATCATGTATGATTGCTACTACTTTTCGTGTTCATTAGATTTTGAGCCATGACAGTCGAATTTTTCACTGTTATCGTTTTAGTCTATACAGTGAAACTATTCATATTCATGTACAAAGTGTACTGATACTACGGATATATATATATATATATATATCCACTCTGAACAGCGAGGTGATTAATAGCATCCAGAGTAGCTGCTGCTAGAAACAACACTAATATGGCCATTTTATGAGTGTGTATGCCTACGTCTGAACGAACATAGAAAACAAGCATCTATGAAACCGATACGCCTCAACTTCTTGATGAGGACATGGAGTCTCTATTTAGGGAAGAAATAGTAAAGTCTGTATCTGAGACTGTTAGTATAACTCAATTTGAGGGAAACCTGCCATTTTACCTAGTTAGATTTAGAATCAGTGGTGAATACTTTTGAATGGCTTGACATCGAAGGTTATTAATTGCTAGTCGATATCTGCTGTTTCAGGCAAACTACTGATAACCTGGAATATATTCGTAGTAACATTCGAGATATATTTTCCAACTCCATACACTACTTATTGGAAGTGTTTATTTGTTTTATTTCGACAGGGATTTCGAAATGCATGAAATTTAAAACTTATTCTTCATGATCCCTCTGTGATATCTACGAAAACTTTATGGATTTTTCTGTTATTTGAACACTTGCTTCTAGTAGATGAGTCGACATCAGATGAATGGTTGACCTCCAACTGAATTACCATTGTCGTCTTTTGTGTATTTTAGAAAGATTCAGCGTTACTCGCCTTCAGATTCGGCTAAGTTGTGGGAGAAGCCGTTGACTCGGCGCGTTGGTGTTCATTTTCATCCTTTACCATGCTTAAAAGCTGCTGGGATGGAACTTCACAAATCGGAGCTTGTTTCTCATTCACAGCCGTCTGTTAAAAGTGACCTTAATCCCGAGGAGCACTTATCAGCTGAAAATGTTACCGAAAAAGACGAGGATATTGAATGTACGAATGAAATGCAGTCCCTTGTACAAGATTATCTCGATTTCCGTAAGCTGATACTTACTATTGATCCTCCGGGCGAAGAAGAATTAGGAGCAGAAGACCTGAATACTTCATTACAATCTCTTGGTGGAACAGTCGCTGACGATCCTTGCAATACAACTTCAGGTAATTCAACTAACTTGAAATAGCTTCTGTTTTTTTTGTGGAATTCACTAAAACGTTCATTCTGATACATCGTATGTGAAAGTTTTCCTAAAACTACAAGTTTTACGTTAATTTCCCCACAGACTGTGCTCAGTTGAATAAGGGTCGGTCCTTAAGAACAGTGGTGCCTCAGTTACACAATAAATCTTCAGAAGAAGACAATGATTCGGATGACTCAAATGTAAGTATTACTTCTCGTGTTAGTAAGTTTATTTTGACATCCTCAATATTGATAATTTAAATGCGTTGTGTATTGTGGTTTCCGTATACGTCGAATCGCTTTGCTTTCATGTACACATTTAGGTGTTTAGTAGCAAAAAAACTTGCCTTATAGATTGTAGGTATTTCACCCTATGCGGGACTTGAATTATCTCAGTTGAGTCTATGGATTAAACCCTGGCACCGATGGATGAAAACTTAACTTGGTTTCCTAACTGGTTCTATATATCGAAAATGAGCGAAGATTGGCTGCGGGACTAAAGATCTTGCCAGGCGAATCAGTTGAGGTACTGCCGAAACTGTTGTGAGATGGCTCATTGGCGTAATCACTCCAACGCTTAGAGAGTAGTTCCCATGTCGGAATTCCATCTCGTTTTGCGTCAGCCCCTACGTAACTGGTTGGTGTCATCAACTCCAACTAACCTACTAGTCTGCTAACCCGTTTTAAGCGAGAAAAAGAGAGAATGTTAGGCCTTGAACTAAATATAATACTCCGGAGATCTATCCAATCACTACAGAAACTTAAAAATATAGAAAAAAATGTGGAAGATACTCATTCTTCTCTAGAACCAGAGAGACCTAACGACACCTGCTGGCGAAAGCGTTCACAAAGTCAGTCAACCGATACCCCTTCTTTCGATGAAAGTAAATATAAGCATGGAGACACGGAATTTCTGGATAACGTTTAAAGCTGGTAAAGCTGCTGAGATTGCAGGCGAAATGTGAAGATATGTTTTAGGAGTGATAGGAATCAGTGAATACTGGTGGTATGAAACTGAACTGTTGGAACTAATACCTGGAGACTTAAGAACACCGCTTATCCAGGCGATAACCACGAACATATTGAGAGAGTAGCTATTACGATTTTAACAATAAGCGTGGAGGGCTGTATCACAGTGGGAAGCTATTTCCAATAAGATAATGCCAGTGAGATTTCACTCAGTAGGAAAGATAGATACAATTACTGAATACTACGTCCATACGGTCAATAACTAAGGGAGAAGCTAAGGTCAATCTGCAGTGTGATGGACAAGGTAATGAAGAAAAGTTCTAAGAAAAACAGAAGATGGTGTTACGTTACACTGAAAACTGGAGTAGGATAAACTACAGTTATCAAGGACCTTACAACACTTTGTCACATATTAGGTAAGGTTGTTTGAAGTATCACCAGCAGTCTTCAATGCCACTCAGTAACTAATGCACGGGAAAGTAGCGGAAACAGATAGAGTGCCGCCGGAAGCAAGGAATACGGACAAGGTATTTCATCTCAGTGGATCTAATCACGCCATGAGCTGTGGGAGCAGGGGAAGGTAGGCGCCCGGCTATTGGGAGAAAGACTACGTTGTGAAACTGGCAAAGAACGGTGACTTCAGTCTACAGAAGAACTCGCATGATATCATGCTCCTATTTCCTTCAAGCAAAATGCTAAGCGATATCATTAACCTATTGAGATTAGAAGGTGCCTTTGATGGAAGACTTCGCCCAGGAGAGGCTGAATTCAGCAAAGATAAGTCATGAGCGAAAGAAATTGCAAAGATATGTAACATCATCAGACACAGAACAGAATGTCATCCAACTCTTTTCTGCTATAATTGTGTAGTATATCCACCGAACCAGATGACACTGAATGTCTTCCTAAATATATTCACAACATGCAATCACTGTTGCGAATTAATTGATCTTTCGGATTTGTCTCACATCGGTTCCACTAAAGGATTATGATAGTATTCAAAACAGCATTCAAGTGATAAACAAGACGCATGTATTAAGTATTCCCTTACTTGTCAACTGATAAGTCGCCGTTTGTGTACAACTAACTACGTTATAAGTCTTCAGAGTCTCGGAGACCCGACGTCAATGACTTGTAGGAATTCCCTGATATTTTCGGTGTTCTTTGTCGCCGATTTGTACATTCCCTCAATTAAATTGATGTCCCTAGTTGTGTACTTGCATTCATATGAGGGAATGGAAATTAGTCTGGCAATCTTTCGACAATCAGTTTATGTTTGTGGACAACTCAGACAACACACCTACATCAGTACTGTTGAACAGGTCAATTGAGAGTACTTTGAACGATTAACGTTAGTTTTGTCATCCATTAACAAGATGTGGGTGTAGGTTAAATGCCAACAAATGGAAGAGCAGTATGTTGCTTTCCTGCTAATTGAATTCTGCACTTTACGAGCTTCTTTGCTGACCTCACTTCAATGTATTCAGAGTGTAGTACTTGCTTGAACTGAGCAGTCGGCTTGCATATCTCGTCAGTCCGTGGCTGTGCTAGAGAAAGAGAGAGACCTCTCTTTGTCCACATACAAAATGAGCATTGTTTTTGAACATTTTGTTAGCATTATTCCAGGAGATGGGTTTGAGGTAGAAAGAATGAGTGGGATACCTAGTCCATAACATGTCGCTGGGAAGATATTGTGCTGACGTGTAAACACTACAATGCTACGAGTGAGTAGTAATGAGAAGTACTATGCCTCTAGGTAATCAGAGGCTGTACTAGTAGGAAATTGAAGTCAAGCAGAGAAAAACTAACTATTCAACAACAATACTGATATGTATCCACATGATGTGTGTTTTGTTTTTGACAGTCTATAATATTTTGCTATGTGTATATGGATTGATATTTCATTATAACTGACAATATGCTTTTGTCTGTCCACTAACTAAACAAACATGTATGACCTTGTTGTCACATGACATCACAACCAATCATGTTACGACTGTCTATTTATTGGTTCATGTGTATTAGTCATTTTCATATATCCTCTTGCTTTGTATACTTGTTCCCACGTTTTCGTATACTACGTACCATTTCACTCACACTCTTGTGTGACATTTATTTTCCTTGTCTGGAAAATACAAGTATCATCGTAAACCTGGTGGTCTTCTGATTTCCCTCTTTCCGCGTCAGGACTAATAACTACTCGACGAGTAGATAACAAATACAAATAAACATCTGATCATTAAGGTAACTTTTTAGCTCATCAGCGTTGACCAGATGGGATGACTAACTCTATATGCACGTATATACAGATGATAGTGCAGAAAAAAATTACCTGTGCTTGTATATCTGTTGTAACTGTTGGTGTTGGTTGTAGTGCTTATTCTACACTGGTTATTTAGTCAATAAATGCAAATTGGACTAGTACTGAGTAACCTACCGAAGCTGGATTGGTGGGACCGCGCTATCACTCTCTGCTCACGGAAAATTGTACTACTCGTACAAGCTCCTATTAATATGTGTAAAACTTCGGCACTGTGGTATGTAATTCCTTATTAGTTTGTTTATTAGATATATCACAGAATGAAACAGTATTATTTACTGGATAACGTTTCGAACACAATTTGTTATTCATAATCTTATCAGTCGACGATTACTGATCATTAACCCGTTGTTGACCAGCTGGTTATGTGCAGCTAGGTATATCGGTCGTTCATCTAGAGTTTTAACCCAGAGGATGCAATAACACTCCTGCATGGTTTTATTGTGATGAGAGCTAGCTGCAAGCCAAAAATTCTAGACGGCAATTTACTTCAATGTAACGTGCTGAGTAGGGTCATGGGAAAAGCAATAAGACAGCTAAACCTTGAAGAACTCCCCAATCAATGACAACAGACTTAGCGTGTGGAAATTTCATCGTAGTTGTATTGCTTAACTTTCGAAGAAACGGTCACAATCAAGGATACAACCAATCAGTAGACTTTACCGATAATATTATTTATAAAAAAACCATAAATATCTTGATTTTCTCAAACGATCTGTTGCCTTGCACCTGTCTTCTGTCGTTACATCATATTTTATGTATTCCGGTACTTGACAGCTGATAAATTGCCATTTGTGTACAAATGCATGGCCTAGATAATTAAAGTATAAACTACTTAATGGACCAGAGTACTTCAACTGACAATAGACCTACAGTGAATTTCAACAATAGATGCGAGACTAGATTTCTCTCCCCGTCACTCAACAGAAAGCTCAGGGTAACCTTTAAGAGTGAAGACAGGAGTAAGACATAACTACCTGATATTGTCCACCATGTTCCTGAGTGTGGTGGACTGGATCGTACTACAGACTGTGAGGATTGGTAGTATAGCCATTACAACAAGCCATACGACATCTGGATCTCATGGGTGATTTGTGTTTTTGCCTCACGAAGTTGGAGTTATGCCGTTGAAGGCCAAGAAGTTAGCAGAAATGTGAAGTTAGCCGACTGCGACATAAATCATGTAAAGAGGAAACAAAAGCTTGGAGGTATTAAGGGTTCCATTTGAACTGAATTGTGTGAAAGCGTGTAGATTGGAGAGATATGCAACTGAAATCCTGTATGCCACTCAGAACCCAAGGGAACACTAATTATATTAACAGTCATCAATATCCTTTCTTCGTGTGTCTTATTTTTTCACAAATGTAACTGACCGTACTGGATGTAAACTAATTGATCATTTTCCTGAATGCTGCTTCTATCAACATTGTTTTCTGTTTTTCAGGCTGGTGGTGCTTCCCGTCTCATGTTAGCTCAGTCGGCCCCAACGAAGAAACGAAAACCAACTCTCAGTGCACGTACCGCTATAAGGAATCCCATCAACCGGAATACTAAGAAGAAACGTAGACGCCGGAAGCGATGCACAGTAATTAGATTTCTGTTTCGTTTATAAATATTTTTTAGCTTTAAAACCATGTCACCGCTAGTGTATTCCACGTTTGATATATTAGTAAAGATTTCTAGCATCATTTTCCGTTCTTCGTGTGAAGTTTTTTTTACATGTTGAAACTCTAGATGGAATCATTCACTCCTGTACAGAAGCGCACTGGAGACGAGTAAAACTCATGGTGAAGGAACCTATCATTGCACATCCCTCAATCACTCACCTCCCGAATTCACTACCTGATTTACTTCCTAGTAGACAAATGTAGTAGATGGGAAAAATCACTACCTCAATAGGCATAAGTTGTGGATACTGATTTACTTCCAGTCGATTAAATAGACAAAATTGTAAAAACATTATTGTGCGGCTGCCATGTATTTCGTTGATATCTCCTGCAAACTTTCTGTTTATTCATGAAGCAGTGCCTTATCACACGTATTTCCATGTGTGTGTAGGACTGTTAGAAAGTATTACGTGCGCGAAGTTTGGTCGATTAAGAATACTTGGTGGACACTTACACTGAGCCTTTAGCTCAGTCTTACCTCTCCTGCTAATAATTAAATTATTGTCTGAATAATGTCGTATCAACTGATAGTTTTGTGCTGCTCTTTGGAGCGATCGTCTCTAAATAAACTGATCTTCTGACTTTTCTCTATTATCGGTATTCAAAAGATAGACATTACACTGATTAGACTGGTTGTTGCTTAGTCGTATAAATTTGTTTAAGATGCGTAGTGTGTTGACTGACAACAGTACACATTTGCTTTGACGCATCTTTGCTAGCTTGTGAATATTGGATTAACATTTAATGACACATTTCAGCAAACCAAAGGGATGGATATATGCGGATTGCAGAGCGTTCTGTACTTATGGAATTAAAGTTTGTTTTATGACAACAACTTTGTTTTGGTGATGATAAATTTGGTACAGCGTATTTGTTTGTTCTCTAACTGTGCTGTTGTTCTAACTATTGTCTCTTATAGATGGCAGCCAGCTCAAGTGGAGAGGAAAGTGATTCCGCTGATGAGTCTGAACCATCTGATCCTGATTATTAATCTTCATAAAAATTCTCAACCAATAGGCCAATAGATCTTGTTCACAATTTGAATAGCGCAAAATGTGCATTAATCTGCCAGTCTAGATGTCTTGCAAAAACTGAAATAAACAACTCCCAAGTTCCAAAAAGTTTATCCTTTATTCGCGGAATAAAATAATATATTAATTTATAATATATTAATTTATATTTACCTTGCATCCCTAGCCTCCCTTTTGTATCAAAGATTTTATTCGTCATTTCTTTCCTTTAATCATGTATTTTTTTTACTCCTATGGCAGCTTGTCATATACAACGTTTGTTTTTGTATAATATAATAATATATGCTTTCAATTTTGACTGCGATGTTAACTATGTTATATAAATGTCCCCAACAATGGATTTTATTGTTGATGATAATATTTATTATTTAATTTATTCAGATATCGAGTTATGTATCTGAATATCGACATCACCACAATATCCTTTTAATTGAAATTACATTCCCCGAAACAAAATTAATCATCATCCTGTTTTATTTGTTTTTGATATCCCTCTCAGTCGAACAAGATCTCAATACATAAGGCTTCACACGTAACTAACCTGATGTGATGATGATAGCACTACTCTTTTCTTTTATTATTTACATGTTATTAATAATATGTATTATGTTATAATGTTTATTTCTAATTTAGAAATTTTAATTTTGTAAATATGTATATTATTTTCATGAGATTTTATTTCCCAGTTTTTACCATTCTTCATTTTGACGAAATAATATTTATTTGCATTATTTCTATTTATGTACATCACTGACGAAAAAATTTGTTTTTTATCTCCTATGGATACCCTTTTGTACATAACCCCATCAGTTTACATACTGACTTACCTACTGACTTATTTACTTACTTATCTACATTTGACGTATTCTCCGTTGTCAGTAATTTTCTCTATCTCGTTGTGAACATAATTAACGTATCTACTTGGTAGGCATGTTTTGTCAATTGACTTATTTCTGATAGTCTTTCTCCCTTTTCTGTTGAGACAAGCGTAATAGCTTACATCCTTTACTTAACGCTTTCATTTGTCTATGTACATTTGGTTTTAATCAGTCACTACAAAATATTCGTTTTCCTACTGTGTATATGTTTTTATTTGTCAGACTAAGAGTCTGATTAAAGCCTATCTTGATTCTGCTTTTGTTTCCCCCTCTAATATTGATAACTTGTAATCTATTAAGTGATCAATAGCACTTCTTGTTTGTACTTTTATTTCTTCTTAATTTCAGTTTCAGCTAGTCGGAATACTTGTACTATTTTCCACGAGACTATACTAAATCAATTATTGGCTTTTGATTTTCAATGTAACAAAATAGGTGGTGGAACACCTCAATGCAATTTCCAAATTATATAAAGAGTCACTGTGTAGTATTTTATGCCATTATCTTTGCTGTTTTATATGATGAATTCTGTCAAGAATAAGTTAATCAGCGTTCAAACTTGAATTCATGAGTGAACTCTAGACACCATGTCCAATCGGAAGCTAATGTAACGTCATATTGACTAGGGTTGCATTCCTAATGTCAGATGTCCAGTGTGAGAAGAGAGTACATAACTCATTTCATATCAGCAGTTGAATACTTGAATCGGATAATTAGTTGAGCCTTGTAGATTACTTGATACTGTACAATCCTGGAAAATATGAGTAAAAAGTTTGAACATTGTGGATTAGATCAAATAAAGTATAATTATATTTCAATAGTTTACACACGATGATAAGTTTTGTTATTGGTAATATTTCGAGCAAAATTACTGCCCGTGTTCACACCACTGTTGGAATTCCAACCAATAACAAAACTTATCTTTGTGTGTAAGCTATTGAAATATAAATATACTTTATTTAATCCTGGAAAAGTTAAGGCTTTTGACTTCACTGATACGCCTAACCAAATTTCTCTCCAATTTAAAGCATCATTGAAAAATATAAAGATCTTTACCTGCATCATGAGTAAACGTGCTGCACACTGTAAATAATCGTCCCTAGTGGAAAACAACCAAAAGGTGTTCCTTGAATTTTATATGCATAGAAGATGTCTCCAGTTATTGGATACTTTATTGAACGTTAACGTGAAACGTTATACACTTCACACATAGTAATAAACAACAATGTTAGAAGAAATATAAACTTTCAAAAATTCTTTACGACCAAATTGGTAACAATTTAAATTCGGACATATTCCTTTCCATGATAAATGAAATAGCAATAGAAAATTTCTGAAAATGAGCTTCTAGTTTCAGAGATTGCAGTACTTAACGAATACTAAGAATACCATTCCCATCGAATAAACTATTAGTTCGCCATTTGAAAAATCAGTGGAAAATGTTTATGGTATGAGTTTCCAGAAGAAATCGTCTACTTACACAATTTCATCATGAGCTGATATTAGTTAGAGAACCATTGAAAAACCTGAGAGAACTAGACAGCTGTTTCGTCTTAGTTTTCGGACAATTCAGCAGTACGCACCCACCGGGGCTCAAACCCAGATCTTTCTGGTTACAAGGTCAGTGAGCTCGTAGACTATTAAGCCAGTGGACCATGAATTCTAACTTCTGCCAATTCATGACACAGTTCGATCCCTAGCTAATGCCTTCGGCAGGCATTTGTCCTCACACTCGATCTGCTACACCCTACTGGCCATGACTTCTCACTAGAACTCCAGGTAACTGCCTACCTGAATAGGGCAAGACGCTAGTGAGCATCTCATTGATATTCAAGTGTTGGTTTGTAGGGATTTCACTGGTTACGGGATTTTATCTTAAGCTGACATTAGTTAGAGAATCATCGGAAAACCTGGGAGTACTGGACAGCTGTTTTGTCCTAGTTTGGGGCTCTTCATCAGTCGTGAATTGGCAGAAGTTAGAATTCATGGGCCATTGGATCGAGTCCCAGTGGCTTCACGGTCCACGAGCTCGCCTTGTAACCAGAAGGTCCTGGGTTTTAATCCCGGTGGGTGCGTGGTGCTGAAGAGTTTCAAACTAGGATGAAACAGCTGTCCAGTACTCTCAGGTTTTCCCAGTGGTTCTCTAACTAATGCCAGCTCATGATGAAATCCCGTAACCAATCAAATCCCTAGAAACCAACACTTGGAAATCTTTTACTGTTGTTTGCATACATGTGGAATTTCAAAGGGCCATGGAAATATAGAATATGTCTGTTAATAAATATACGATTTCAAACTATGGTTTCGATTAAAATGGGTCAGATTTCATCGCAAAATACGCATAATTTTCATTATTTGCAAACATGCTGAGTTGCAAGTAATTCACTGAAAATCCTGAATACTGAGTGATTCAGATAAAGTGTGGATAGTTGTTATCCGTTCTCCATCTAGGTGATTACATTAGGATTTTAGCACTCCAAGTTGAATTCTGCAGATGAGAAAACTATTCATCCTCGTTATGAACATCGAAATGTGCTTCATGAACTAAAAAATTCAACTCTTTCATGACATACAGATTGGGGGTCAATAAATTATTATTATTATTCCCTCGTGTTGCGAGTGGAACACAGGGTTTCAACAAAATATCTCCACTTTGTTCTGTTTTCTGCTGTCCTCTTCAACTGGATCCACGATTGGCCATAATCTCTCATCGCCACATTATCTCCTCCATATCACTATCCTACTCGTCGCTTCCCATTTGGATTGCACTCGAGCAATGGCCTGGCGTGCGATGTCATTCGGTGGTATCCTTAATGTATGCCTGATCCATCTCCACTTTCTTCTACATATTTGTTGAGCGGTCGGCTCTTGGTTGGTTTGTCCCCGTAGTTTCTTGTTGCTTATTCTTTCTGGCCATTCGATCTTCAGTATGGAGCCAGAGAAGGCAGCTTTTGTTGAAAGTCTGGAACAGGCTGTTGTAAATCCTTTCGTGATACGCAGTGCAACTTCCTGACTCCTGTAGAAGAACCGACTTCACATTGGTGTTGAAAATCTGAATCTTGTTCCTTATGCAGGCCGAGTGCAGGAGATTCCCAAACTACTTTCAGCTTGTTGAATGTCTTCTCGCCTTTCTGACTCTACCTCCAGCATCTTCATCTGTTCCGCCTACAGTTAAAAAGATGCTTCCCATATAAGTGAAGGAGGCAACCTCTGTCACATCCCTCCTTTGATGGTGATTGGTGCTGGTTGTTGTTGCTGTTCGTTGGTTGTCTTCATCACCTAAGTCTTCTCTGTGTTCACCTACAGTCTTGTATTCTTTGACTGCCTCTTCAGCCAGTTTGTTGGTTTCGCTTGCAAGTCTTCGATTTTGTGTGACATTAGACATATATCATCTGCGAAATACAGATCTTCTAGAGTCCTCTTGGCGGAGATCAAGCGTATTCCTGACCACTCGTTCCCAACAGTCTGACGCACAATCCAGTCTACGACAACAAAGGATATCATCCGTGGTAATACACATCCAGCCTTGTCTTACTCCTGTATGCACTTCGAACGCTCCCTCCGAACACCGAATCGTTGGAAGAGCAATAGTCTGCGAATAATTCTCCGTTCTCATTCATTTCTGCGAGCGAGAGCCTCTACCCATAATGAGTTCTCTTCCTGTATTACCTGCTCCCAGTTACGCTTGCATTCATTTCGTCCATAAGGATTTTGGTGTCAGCATTCGGGATGTTGTCCATTACTGTTTGTAGTCGTCTGTAAAAATCTTCCTTCCTTTCTTGTTCCGCGTTGTTTGTAGCACTGTGCGTGGCATTGGGTAATTGTGACCTCCCTTCCTTCCTTTGGAGTTAAATCTTGCCGTCGTGATGCTGCAGCATGAAGTTGGTTCCCACTGCATTAGGGCTTTGGCTGCCACTGGTCGCATCATCATAGCCATTCAGTACCTCAGTGTGTCCGTGGTTGTTGTCCGGGTGACCAGAGTAGATTATTGACTCTCCCGTTGACAATGTAGTCAATTCACATCTATTCAGTACTTCTAAGCCATATCTTTGCATCTATTTGGCTACCTGGGCAGCCTTCCT